ATTTAGTGATTTATAGACCAGTAATAATACTTTAAAATCTATTCTGAATGTAACTGGCAGCCAGTGTAAAGACCTGAGGACAGGTGTGATGTGCTCTGATTTCCTGCTTCTGGTTAGAATTCTGGCTGCAGCGTTCTGGATGAGCTGTAATTGTCTGACTGTCTTTTTAGGAAGACCAGTGAGGAGTCCATTACAGTAATCCACCCTGCTGCTGATAAAAGCATGAACAAGTTTTTCTAAATCTTCACTAGAAACAAAGCATCTGATTCTTGCTATGTTTTTGAGATGATAGTATGCTGATTTACTGACTGCTTTGACATGACTGTTGAAACTCAGATCTGACTCCAGAGTTTTTTTAATTTAGAACATTCTACTCATCAAAGAAGTGTGGGGCAGGGGGGCTCACAACATATGGTTATTGCTAATAATTACCATTTCTTGATTATCAAATCAGCATATTAGGGTTTGACAAGTGTGAGTGCTGCGAATCGGACCCATGCGCGGTTCAATTGGCCGGACCTGGCTTGGTTGGAAGAGGTGTGCCAAAGCCGGTTAGGTTGGGCTTTGGTGTGGTACGCTTGTAGTGTAAGTGCAAATCGTGCCTGTGCCTGAAACTGAGGACACAATGTCACTTTTTAGGGACTGTTACATATGGATGTTTTATTCATTCTTAATTGTCAATCAACGTCAACTGCCATAGTTTATCAAAGACGCAAACCCCTCACTGAACGTCAGCTGCACCTTCAGCAAACCTCCTAATACAGGCAGCACAATGACTTTTATAATAATTTATGAGCGTCAAAAGTTGTGGATCTGTTCCACAAGATATTTGACTACGTGTCACTGCATATCAAACGACTAAAATTATATAATTAAATATTAAGTATATATATAGGACATAATAAGAATATATATAGAATATAAATATAAAGGATTAAAATAGTACAAAACATATTATTTTCTAGCCAACATAAATATAAAAACCACTGCCTTCATGCCTTCTTCATCTCAGGGGGCTTTTTCAGTTTATCCACAAAAATTTTGCTTTTGTATAATGTTATTATTATTAGCAGTATTATTTATTATATTCATATTTATATTTGTTTTATTAAAAACAAGCTTGGATTTGCCCACCTGTCAGGTTTTAGACCATATAGGCACAGCACAAGAAGTGTTTTAAAACACTTCGTTATTATTGTTCATTTGTTCGTTTGCTGGAAATTAGAACTGAATTTAGAAATAGTTTTGAAAAAAATCTTTGCGCTTAACAAACAAAATTAATTATTTATAGGCTAATTGATGTCTGTGTGTACAAGGTTTCCCTATCTACGAGAGCGAAAGTGAAAGTATAATGAAAAGGTTTATCTCTTAAAGGGAATGGAAGATGAGACTCTGATTGATTTATTCTCAAAACACACCTATAATTCATTAAGAAAATAAGCTCAACGCTTTTAGACCATGCACCATGAAGCAAAGCGGATTTTTTCGTCCTTATATTATGAAAAGTGGATTCTGACATGCCCCTAATGCGTTTGCGCCCCGCACTTTGCACTTTGTGCATGGATTGTCAAAATAGAGCCCTTAGTTACAACAATTCAGCATTCTTATAGCCAGAGCCTTATCATCTTGCACCCCAAGACCGGTTGCATGGGAGATTTTCTAGTAAAAGTTGAATACAATCCATATAGAAGAGATAATATTTTAAATCAACCTCTTTTCTTAAATAATAAAATTTTTTGTTTGTTTGTTTGTTTATTTACAAATGGATGAAAGTTGGGATACAAAATTTTGAGATGTTTTATATGAATTCAAAGAAGAGTTTTTACCAGAGCAATATGTAGTTGACAATGGAGGAAGCAAAAGAAAAGTACAATATGTGAAATTAAAAATAAACATGATATAATAAACAGGCAATTCCATCCAGGGAATAGAGAATGGATCCAGAGAATAGAGAATATTGAGAAAGAGAAACGAATTATTTAAAAGAATGTACAGTAAAAATATTTACATTTAATTTTATTTATTTATTTATTTTTTTTTTTGAGATTATGCTTTTAAAGAACCCATAGTAAATAAATAATTGATGCAAAAAATCAAAAATGTAAGAGAGTGCAATATGGGGGAATATGAGAGGATGATATGTGATTCAAAAGTTGAATGTCTAGAATATTTTATAAGACACAAAGCAGTTTTTTCAGACACAATTTTAAACAAAATAGAGATGCAACAGAACAGACTAGTATTTCAAAGAGAGGAAGAAGGGTGTTTATATGACAAGAGCAGGAAGGTTTTTTTTGAAGACAGCAAAAACTTAATTAAGAGTTTGATTTTGATTTGAGATTGGGATGAAAATGAATTAGAATGGAACGGATTGGTGATGGTTGGCTGGGAAAAGAAAACTGAAAACAAGAAATTCGTAAATCTATAATGTTAAAGAAAAGCGCTGTGCGGGAAAGAAGAATTGTAGCAAGAAAAAAAATTGTGATGGATGTATGGAGAATTTTTAGAATTAAAACAGAAGGATATCTAAAAAAAAAAAAAATGGTAAGTGTATTTTAAAAGTGAGAACACGCTGAAGAAATTTCACAAATTATTATTACCCAAAGCAAATCAAGTTTAAAAAGGAGTGAACTGGATATTGCCAAAAACTTAATGTTCTTAAATTGTGTTTGTTTTTTTTAATGTTTTGTATAATGTATGACAATGTATTTGCATATTTAAAAATAAATAAATAAATACATGTAAAAAAAACTGGTTACTTACTGAAGCTAAGAAGGGCTTAGCCTGGTCAGTATCTGGATGGGAGACCACAAGGGAAAACTTGTTTGCTGTTGGAAGTATACTGTTAGTGAGGCCAGCAGGGGGCGCTCAAAATGCAATCTGTGTGAGACCTAATGCCCCAGTAAAGTGAAGGGGACACTATTGACCTTGATCTAAAATGCGAAAGTGCGGCTGTTTTTGGGATTGTCCTAGAACTTCCATTTCAGTCGCCCATGGGAGAAATGACAAGTAATAATAAACGGCAAAAAACGGTCAAACTACTTGCTCTACAAACAAATGTTTGCATGACTATACAGACCAAGTAGAATAATATAACAAGAAAATATCAGTTTGCAACATCAAACAGCGAAACGAGCAGTTTTTAATGTCTAAAAATGAATGGAAGTGAATGAGGCCGGAAGTATCCTGCCAAAAAGATTCAAATGGCAGCGCCCGCTCGTCTGCGGAGAATAAGGTCAATACTGTCAGTGAGCGCTGTCTTTTAGATGAGATGTTAATCAAGGTTCTGACTCTCTGTGGTCATTGAAAATCCTGTGGCTCTTCTTGTAAAGAGTAATGCTGAGTTCAGACTGCATGATTTTCAAAGTAGTCGTGTCACAGATGTTTTCACACTGCTTGACTATCTGGGCTAGCGTTTCGTTGCTCCTTTGTTTACACTGCAAGATGGATCGGCGACAGGGAAATTCACATTGTATGACTTTACTATAGGAAGAATCGCAGACAACTTCGTCCAAACTACGTCTCACAGCCAAAAACACGTACTATATCTTTTGTTATTAACTACATAATGAGAAAGAAGCCTTTAATGGGGTAGAAAATGTACATATTTGCTCACTTGTGTTTAAAGGGAATTAGCCATTTCTCCTCAACGTTGATAATAAACTAATTTCTTTCTGTATGAAACGTCAAACAGACACGGTTGCTCCTTAGTCCTGTCAAACCTCCACTAGTTTTTCCTCCATTTCGTGGGTCCAAATAAACAGAAAAAAAGCGCTTTTAACTTCTCCCCCAGCCTCCCGCTGGCCTGCCGCAGGTATACACACACGCAAGTGAATGCCGCTCTCTCATTGGCTGTAGGTGATCGCCGATGTTATTTTCAGTCAAAACTCAATTCACACGGCATGATTTAAATCGCCGACAGCTCCAGATATTTAGCACGCCAAATATCTCACAGGCACCGGCGACTTAGCGGCGATTCTCTCATATGGTGTCTTTGATTGTTCATACTGTGTGATTGTCACTCACGTGCACGAGCGCTGATTTGCCTGTGATTTCAGCCATTTGTCTGCGATTTCTCAAAACCTGTCGGCGAGCCAATATCGGCGCTAAAATCACGCAGTCTGAACTAGGCATAAGGTGGCCCTTACCCATCATGGCCTCCTAAACATTCCCATTCACCGAATTGTTTCTCCACTCCCCCTATAGTTGGTGTGTGGTGAGTGCACTGGCATCATTATCCTGTGGCTCCCGTCACATCATTCGAGCAGATGCTGCACACTAGTGGTGATGTGGAGAGACCCCAACCCCCAATACATGACCATGCATTATAAATACCCTATTATACAATACACATTACATTACATTACATTAGAGTGTATTGGTATTGAAATGAACCAAATCAACATTGAATAAGTAATTAATTATGAGATTGCAGCCTTTTGTATAACCACTAGCAGAATCGAATCATGCAATTTTAAAGACCTCTCAAATTGATTTGATTGACTTTACCTCTTTTCCCCCTGTGGCACTTGATTCATTAGTCACATAACATTTACAGCGTGTGATTGATTTAAAACATGCTCACATCAGAACTTGAGTGATTAAGATTTAATGAAATAACTCAAATCGCAAAAGTCTGGAGGTCCCATGAAACCCAAACAAATGATTTATATAGGAATCCCAACAGATGGTTTCACCTGTGACATCTGCAATCAACCCCACAACCTCTACCAAATCTTAAACATCCATTGATTTAGAGTTAACCTCAAAAAAAACATTATGTCAATTATAATCCACTAACATCTTCTTGTTTATTAGTCGCTTCCCACTAACTGGACATCCACAGCGCCCTCCAAGTGGACACCCATAGGAGCCAAGTGGAAAAATGTGTTACCCTAAGAAGAGGCTATATTCGCCATGTGAATCATGGGGGCCTGGCATCCGGGGGTGTCCCCTTACTCACCATATAAGGCCCCCGAGAGCTTGAGAGTTATCACTTTCTGCAGAGAGGATCTATTCTTAGGCTGTCTGTCCAGGCCATCCGAGCAGGCAAGAACTCTTCTGCTTTTTTTTTTACTTTTTTGACTTTTTGTCAAGGGTGCGATGGAACTGTTTGTTATTTTATTCTCTGATTGGTTTGGTTGTGTGATTTTGAGTTGTGTTGATGCATGATAGTTGCATAACAATGCTTGTGTATGGTAATTCAGCGTATTTCACTCAACTGCATCTCCGGTTTGTTGTTGTTGTGTTTTCAGAGGCTCCTCGGTGCCTGCCCGTACCCGGGTGTTTGGTCATCCCGACTGGAGTGAGAACAACTGAGAAGAAAAGGGGGGAAAAAAGGACTTTACTGATTTGCAACAAAGCTTTTGGCTTTAAACACACTTCAAGATGAGCAATTACACAGTAACCCTGTCAGGACCTGCACCATGGGGCTTCAGACTGCAGGGTGGCAAAGATTTCAACATGTCCCTGACCATCTCCCGGGTGAGACTACCCAAAACAAACCCATCATGCTTTATTGATCAAAAAAAGAGATAGATTTGACCAGTCTCTATATGTGAATGGTCATGTTAAAACAGAGCCTCATGTCTTCTGGCATTATGTAACAGTATGTTGCAGCTGTTGTTGTATTGGTTATCATCCAAGCCAAAGAAGAAATTCTTCAACCAGCTTTGGTGTTTTGGCTTGAGAGAGATATGTTGTGGTGTATTTACAGTGGAAAGCTCTATGAATAGAGTTAGATGATGCAAGCCTTCAGAAAATGAATCTGTTCTTGTGAGGTTGAAAGAGAAAGATGAGAAGGCCGGATTAATACCGCTTGTGGAGGTTAATCACACACACTGCATTTAACCTCTAGTGTTATTTGACAAATGTGAAAAATGTGTATTCTCGATTTTCATATACAATGCTGATTCGACCTGTAAAGTCTAATGAAAAAGTAAAGTTTAACTTTTGTTACATCCCCTGAAAAAAAGTATTTTAAACGGAGAGATAACAGATACATTTTTTTTATTATTATTTTAAAAATCTCAATCATCCAATGTAAGCTTCTGCCATGGAATAAATAAATGAATTGTGACTTAATTGCGATTTAATTGGAAATTGTGACTTTTAAACTCAAAATTTCAGGATTATCCCAATTTTGTAAATTTTACAGTTACAAAATGTTTTCTCAGACTTGCAAGTTTATATCAAGTATTTTATAAGCTGGAATATTTAATAATTATAAACTATTATATTCAATTTTTGTCTTATAATATCAGAATTACTTTGTATGAGTTTTGTAATTCTTAGATAATAAAAGTTAAAAACAAAACTGGAAAATGTAATCAAAATGGCATAAAAATTGCAACATTGCTTGTAAACTTGAAAACTGGGAAAAAAATTGTCAAAATTTTGAGAAATAAATCACAATCGTGAGATGTAAACTCAATAGTTTGACAAAAAAGTTGAAATTGTAGTAAAAAAAAAAAGGACAGAATTGTGAGATAGAAAAAAGAACACAAGATAAGTACAAAAAAACGGGTTTGGTGTTGTTTTTGATCCCATTTGTGTGGATGATATGTTTTTCCGAACATGAAAACATGATTACATGTTTGATATGACATGAAGGTGGAAGTGATGATGGCAGTTTTCATTTTCAGCATAAAAGCCATTAGCTTCTGGATGCCTCTCAGTCTGTATTGTCTGTCATTTATGCTAAGCAGCTGTTGACGTCATGTTTCATGGAAAAATGCTTCGATTCTTGTTGCTTAAGGATGTTGATTCTCATTTCAGCTATAGGATTATTCTGTTTTCTCAGAATTCATTTCTTGATGGTAAGCAGTTTCCCATTTATCATCTGTAACATGACCGTTACATAATGAGTAGTAAAATTGCTTACCTTAAAAAACAGCAATGATATTAGATTTTTTTTCTATGAGATCATTATGAATGACACTAAAGTCATTCATGATACTAAACTAAGAAGCAAAGCGATAGTTTTATCCTCCTGAGCCAATCAATAAAAAAATGTTATTGACAAACTATAACCACTTAAACATTTAAAAGCTAAAAGAGTGTCATTACTTTAAAAAAACACACCTTTCTGGTGGGGTGAATTTAGCTTAGCATGATTATTTTTTGTATTAATTATATTCGTAAAAAATTATATTTTTAATTATATTCGTAAAAAATATAATTGATAGTTAATATTTGCATTGCTTTAGTTTTTAAATTAATAGTTTAAAGTAAATTAAAAAGCACCTCAGCTTAGTTTGTAGGTTTGTTTATGTAAAGATCATTATGCATTAGGCTTAAGGTTAGACTTAATTGGTTATTTTGAAAGTTTAAATGTTACCATTTTCAAATGTTAATCTAAACACCTACATGCTGAAATATTGATTGAAAATATTGTGGCTATAGGGCTGTTGTATATTACCACCATGTAATAAGGCTCCAATAGTTAACATTAGTTTATCTGATACGAATTTCTTAGTTAATGTCTAATAAAGTTTTAAAATTATAGTCATAATCAGATTGCATACATACATACATACATACATACATACATACACACATACATACATACATCATACATACACACATACATACATACATACATACACACACACATACATACATACATACATACATACATACATACATACATACATACATACATACTGTACATACATACATACATACATACATAATCATTTTATTAAATCAATTTAATTACTAAAAACTTATCAGTTGTATTTCTTTATATTTTGGACCATCAGCAGCAAAAGTCATCATAGCCGAATAAAAGTAGAAAGCAGTAAATAGGAGAGTATGACAAATATAATTTTTGTATTCCTATTTGCTCAAATAATACAATACAAGTTCCACAATAGTGTTTTCATGACTTCATCAAAGCAACAACAAAAAAGAGACATCAACATCAAATTTACTGTCCTGTTCATTGACGCTGCATTACAAAAACCTCACATAAACAGTAATTCATTTGTTTTCCTGTTTGATGCAAAGTATAGCTTTATAAATGTACATAAATAAAAAAAAACATCAAGATATTAAAAACTTCCAAGAAATTAAGATGCTGAACACACCGCGATCACCATCATGTAAAAAAGCTTCTATTAACATAGTACAGTAGCTGTAATAAATTGCCTTTTATTTACTGCTGATTTTAATCCATTAACTTACATTTACTAATGAGATTTTATTGTAAAATGTTACCTATATAGTCCTTTAGTAATTTTATAAGGTTGAAACATTTACACTGAGCATGTGAACACACTAAACCAATACCAAAATAAGTATTTATTTTAATTATACCTGTGATAATACCATATATGTGACAATAGCTTCAGCAATTCATGGGCCACATGCACAGCTAGTGTTTTTCAGCCTATGGTAAACTTCCATTGAAAGCTTAATGTGACTACTATAAATTTTATAAGGTTCCTTTTAACCCTTTCCAGGCAGGCGTTGCTGATTTGCAACAGTTAAAAGCATTGACTTTGCCTGTTTCTAAAATTTAATTTGAGCCTGAAAGGGTTAAAAGGGACTAAGCCAACAAGAAAATGAATGAATGAATGAAGGTACCTTTTACAACATTAAATAAACTTAAGCATTCATTTAGTTGTTCAAGCCTAAAACAAGATGATAGATTGTGTAACTCCATCAAAAACACTGGGGTAAAATAAATGTTCATATTTTAAAGAGATGGCAGGGAAAAACAGAATTTAGTGCAGTGTTTCTTGTCCCGTCTGAGACCTTCTTTATATCATTTATCTATCAGGCAGTGACGATCACTTATTCTTAAGAGAAACAGATCTTAAACATGGCAAATTTACAATGGAAAGACAGTTCACTGGAAGCGCATGGACTGGCTGACTGAAAATTAAAAGTTTAGAACCTAGAATTATCAATTAAGAACCAAGAGTGTTGCTGATGCACCTTTCATATGCAATAAGGCACCCAGAAGTGCTCATGCCTTGTTCATGGACTCATAGAGATTGTACTGTCCTATCAGAGAATGAGATGATTTTCAGTCTGCATTGACAAGAAGAATAGTTTGTTTGTTTCCTAGCTGACACCTTTCTTGCCATTTGATTGGAGAGTCATTACCTCTGTTTGTCAGGTTTATGGTTGGTCCGGCATGTCATAGTGGGCCTTACAGACAGGTCCATATCTCTATTGTTTGTATTTCCATTACTTTTCCAATCAGCATTTTCAGTGGCATGCATTTCCACGCTGTAATCAGTGTCAGTCCATCTGAATTTAATAGTGTCACCTGATGCAGAATGTGGAGGTAGATTAAAACGTGGAAGGTTATGTTAGGTTCATGTCTCATATGATTGATGCACGTGTATTTGGCAGAGGTGGCGCTCTCTGTGTTTTTTTTTTTTTTACAATCACACACTGTAATAAGAGATCAGCCTCTATCCTAAAGCATTGAAGATAATCTACATTAAATCTTAATCCTGGTCCCAAGGCGGACAGAGCTGCTGTCTTTAAAAAAATAGATCAGTAATTGCTTTTGCTGTAAAAATGAAGTCGCAGTTTTGATAATTGAAAGATATAAACTCGGAATTGTGAGAAATAAAGCTAAAATTGTAAAAGATAGTCAGATTTCTAGTCTAAATTGTGTTTACATTTTGACGTTTTGGCTTTTAGTCAAATCTAATATGGCCCAAGTGGTAGAGTACGGGTCGGTACAGGTCACTTTTATCAGACTTACGTTTTCACTGCCAAACTGGTACCCTTTTGGTGGGCGTAATGTACGACAGCATGTTTCAGTCGATGTCTCGCTTGAGGAAATGTCAAAGTAAAGCTGTACCAGTCGTTCACATATCATATGAAAAGCACTTCGCACAAAACAGATGCTTTGTACACATAAATACTTGTGTATAAATGTTCATCACTAACCTTTCTATGACCATGATTTGATTATAACTGCAGATGCATGTGCAAAATAGCCCACTGTAACGTCTGCATGTATATAAAATAAATAAATCAGTCCCTGATATATTACCAATTGCAGAAAAACTACACACACATACATTAAGTCCTTATTTGGCCTTAAAAACATGCAACATATAGTCCACAGTCTGTGCAAACCTCTCATCTGTATCTTTAATCTTCACCAGCACATGTAACCTCTGTTAGAAAGTAATTCCATCATTCCGAGTTCATAATAGTCCAAAAGGCGATGATAATAGTTAAATATGGCAGTTTGTTCATGTTTTAGGTTGCTCCTTTGTGTTTTCCGGCTTAACGCTCACGTTTATTTGTTTCTTAAAGGATCGGATGTCAGAAGCACTTCAATAATCATGTGCATGTTATTATCTTGAGCTCAAGTTTGTTATTTCAAATATAATACACGTGAGCTCTCTGGAGAAAGTGTAACCACTTTCACTCTTAGACGGCCTCATAAAACAAAATCAGGACGCGGCAGATTTTGTTCTTCTTGGCTTTTTGTGGGTTTATCAAGACAA